AAAGATCTTGAACTGCGCTGGGTACAGATCTCAGAGTGAGCAGATGTTCACTGCACTAGTGCTCCTCTGCCTCTGGGCTGCAGGAGTGCTGGTGAAGCTCCCCTGCGCTTAGGAGGACCCTGCGGAGAATGGGAGGCACTTGCTTTACCCAGCCTTCTAGCCCCAGAGTACTCAGTTGTACACCAGCCAGTGGCTGCTGATGTCCATCCAGATTTTGTCCACTCCCACTGCTACAGCAGCGCGCCCCTGACCCTAGCTCTAACCACATCAGGATGCAGAAGTTGAGGAGGGGAGCTGCCAGTAGTCACTGGCCAAGGAAAGGGTGGGGCCCAAACGTTCCCTCCTCTTCCCACTTGGTCAAACTATCCAAAATCCTAGCAGGGTTAGCAGGGACTTATGTCTTACTAGCCATAACTTTCTCTCCTCACAAGTGACCATCGGCAGAGAGCAAAGAGCTGGGTGGCTGGGTGGGGAATCCAGGAAGAGTGTGTCTCAGTGGGAACCTAGACTGAAGCCACTGACTGGCTGCAGAGTTGTCTCTTTAACTTTCAGGACTTGGCCTACTGTGGCTACTCAATGCTGGGTGCCTGCTGGTACTTGGCCTGGGCCTAGGTGTACAATGCTTAGGTGAGTGGACAAGAGGAGCGAGGGAGCCTGGGCAAGGAGGGCAGGCACCTGGATCCTAAAGTTTTTGCTGGGCTTCCCATTATATGTAGTGTTTTCTTGAACATGTGAGCTGTCTCACCCAGACTCCTGTCTTGGATCCACCTTTAACCTGGGGTAGGCTCTGATGGAGAAGATCAAGGCATTCAGGGAGGACCATTGACTGACCAGACTCAGGGCAAGTGGAGCATCAATCCATCTGGACTTTTATGGGTGTGTCTATGAGGTATGGGAGGGGTCAAGTTCAAGGACCTGATTAGAAAAGGACAGAAAGAGGCAGGGTAATCTATCCCCTTTGTATTTAGTTTATTAGTCCTCAAGGGGAGGGGCTCCTTCCAGGAAAGAATCTGGAGCCCAAGGCTAGGAGCTTCTGTGGAAAAGGTGCTTTGAAGGACACAGGTTCCCATCTCCCTGACCCTCCCCAATTCCAGAGTGATGCTGTGAGTTATCATCCTAGAATGAATGGGCAGACATTACCCTCTTCCCAGAAACATTCTGGGTAGAGATTAGTTGGACTGAGGGGCTGCGGGAGGCTGAGGACCCAGAACTGGTTTTGTTGCCTCCTCTTGAGTCAGGCACTCAGGTCCAATCTCCTCCCCACCAGCCTTTTAGGGGCTCGCTCCGCCCCTTCTATTTAAAGCTCTCTTTAGCTATTTATAGTCATGTCCACTAATTGCATCAGCCTGTGTCTGCCTTCCTCCACAGATGCCAATGGTGCCATTGACCCCATACCTTGGTGTGATTCCTGGTGAGAAAAGGGTAAGAGGAAACTTCAGCTTTGGCTGCCAGCACTTCCCTCAGCTGGTGCTCTAGTTTCCGGTCTGGTGCTTGCAAATATGTAGAGATATTTCTCTAGGTGACACCTGCAGTTTCCTTAGCACCCTTCTACTTAGGGAAAGTCTCCCAAGTTTTCTGTCTCAAAATTTCCCCTTTCTGAGATCACCGCCACTACAAGGGCGCCTGGAGAAGGAAGAGGTACACTGGCAGATGCTTAAGCCAGACGAGCCTTGTTCTACTTGGAAAGGCTGGAAGGAGCTCACATCTGCCTGAACTTTGGCAGCAAGCCTGCCCTTGCAGCACTCTTCTCTGTGGCCTGGGACACAGGGTAGCAGAAGAGAGAGCACGTTAACTCTCCCCAACCCTTCAGGACAGCCTTGGAAATTGTCCCAGATAGCCTCCTCTTTCCTTCTTCTTTTGTCAAGATCCTGGGTTGGGGGGGGCACAGGCAATCCTTTCATAAAGATACCTTCACTTCAAGGTGCTTGCTTCTATTTCCAGGAAGTACCTTACATCTAGAGACCAGTGCTCGGGGGTCTAGAATGGGCCTGACGATCTCTGCCTCTCTAGTCTAGCTTTCATGTTTTCTACATAGGATTTGATTTCTCTGGAGATATTGCTCCCACTCCCCTGCCACCAGCCCGAGATGAACCACCTTTCTCTATCCTACTTGCTCTTCAGAGCCAGGTAAGTCCTGTAGTGAAAATTTCGGTTTCTTTGGAAAAAAGGGAGAAATATTGAATATGTTTTAATCCCAGATATGGGATATGGAGCTGCTTCAGATTGTCCACAGCAGCTGACTATGATTTGCCATATGCTCTAGCAGGGGCATGATTTTGCCAGTGGCAGATGGTTTCTGTGATTGTGTGATGTTTAGAATTCTGGGGACTTTTCAGAGGGTATACAAATGCTAGGGCTCTGAAAGGAGGTGTGGGGTGGTGGTGCTGGGTTGTTGTTGGTCACAATTTGTTAAGTAGTTACACTCGAAGAAGAAACAGGAGAAAGAAGAAATTAGATATTCTGACAGCAAAGATCAAAGTTGTCCCAAGGAACTCAATGCCCCTAATCAGCAGGAAGTAGTCTGACAATAACATCACCGCCTTTCCCCTCTGTCCTTTTTTCTCTCCTACCTAGTATTAGGGGGTTGAAAGGATGGAGTATTGGTGGAAAAGGGTGGAAGAAAGAAGATTCCACAAAATAACCATAAGTCCAGTGACAGCACAGGTCACATAACACCAACAGTCCCCTAAGACATTTTCAGGGATTTTTCACAGGGTCTTGCAAGGATTGGCAACAGAGCAAATGAGCAGTGCATTTTGCCCTTGACTTGCTGAGGGATGTTGGACAAAATTGCTCTTCTTTCTGGGCCTGGGAGAGAAACTGGACTCTATGGTGGTGTGCAGCCCTAGAACTGCTAATGTGTGGCTTAGTCAAAGGGCATTCACTGGATGCACTCTATGTTCAAGACAAGTGTCTGCCTATAGCTCAAAGTAGAATGGGAAGAGCCACAGACACCTTCATCATCATTATTATCATTTGCTTGTTTTTCACACTTATTTATGTGTGACCTGCATATCTGTGTCCATGACACAGCTTCCATATGGGACTCAGAAGACAACTTATGGGAGTTGATTCTTTCCTTCCACCATGTGGGTCCCAGATATGGAACTGGGTCATTAGGCTTGACAGTACGTGCCCTAACTTGCTAAACCCATCTGCCTGGCCCCTGTTTGATTGTTTTTAAACAATATTTCATGTAACTCAGGTTGTCTTTCAACCCCAAGCAATCCTCTAGCCTCAGCTGAGGGCTGGAATTACAGCCTTGCACCACCATGCATTGCTGAACTCACAGTTTTAATATAAGACAGAAGAGCTCCACTGCAACAGAGCAGTGTTTACCTACGCATACTTTCACCATCCCTCTCTGAGCCATCCAGCCACCTCTTATCTACCCAACCATCTACCTGTCTATTCATATGTACATCCATTCATCCATCTACCCCACTCACCATCCATCAATCGATCGTCCTTCCTATCCATCATCTATCTATTCTGTTCATTTGTCTCCCGCGTTCCCAGCTATCTACCCTTTGTCTGAGGCTAGTCTTGAGGCTGTGTTGACTATGTGTTATACCCTGTCTCCAAAGGCTTAGGGTTGGGGAGGGAGTTGTAAGCTGGAGTCAGGTCTTTTGCAGAGGCAATGTACCTGGGTATGACAGTATAGGAGTTGAACACTGGGCACCCCAGCACAGTTTACTCTTATGCAGTCTTTGACTGAGATGACCCCTAGAAGTCTTGGTGGGCTAGTAAATGGCACCTCCTTCACTTCCATGTGGTGTCTTACATTGCCTCCAGAGTCCTGAAGCCAATGCTATCAGCTGGCCTCCCCAGAGAAACACTGTCACTCACCTTCTGCAATTGTAGGTGCTCGTGTGCACTGAAGGTGGAAGGAGTATCAGGCCTACTTGAGACAACCATCAGCTTTTTCCAGTCCTTGGTTTTATTGACTCCTAGGGGCTGCCAGGGCTATAAATAGATGTTCTTGAGCTAAAAATAACCTTGCTAGAGGCAGACTATACTGCTAGCTTTCAGCTTCTTTGAGGGCTCTTGAGGATGCAGAATTCAAGATCTGCTGGAAGAGGAGCTAGCCACATCCTTTCCCCCTCCTCCCCTCCTCTCCTGATTCTTCCTCCTCCATCTCCTGGCCTACCGGCATGCATGAGCACGCACACACACACACACACACACACCCCTACCTATTCATATGAGTGGCCAGTGTCATTGTCTGCCTGAAAGCAAAAAAAAAAAAAAAAAAAAAAGTCTCTGGAATAGGATGGCCAACCTGGAGAATGTCAAATTAGCCAAGGGCAGAGATAAGAACAAAAATCTTTCAAGAAGCCCACTTAGGAATTCCCACACAGTATCCAGAGTAGTCCATATTGAGTGTTCCACACAGAGACGGTTAGGATGAGAACTAAATGTTGAGGTGGCCCAGAAAAAGCCACATCCGGAAGTCTGTCCTATAAAATGGTACATGGATGCCCATGGTCACATAACTTGTAATAATATATGGAAGATAAGCCTGGGCACTGTCTGGTCTGCACTGGTATACGGGCCATCTGTCCAGAGGGAGAGGAGCCCTGTGTCTAGAGACAAGGATGGGGTCACATCAGACACTCTGGTATGCTTTAGCTTAGTGTCTTTTTGTTGTTGTTGTTACAAAAACAAACTTTAAAAAAAAATGAAGGTTATAGAAACTGGGCCAACACCCAACTTTGCTTCCATTTCCACCAGTTCAAAGATCTACGTGGGGTGAGGGTGAGCAAGGGGAAAGGAGCAGAAGAGGGAGTTCACGGTCCCGGTAGGGGTAAGGGGAAAGATGGCTGTCGAGATACTCATGGCCTAAGGTCTGGGCCTGACTCCCTTTCACATTGCAGGAGTGCTGGGGAAAGGAATGAGGCAGAGGGGCTAAGAGTCACGGGCAAGAGCACTTCCTCTGGGGATTAGAAACAGTGGGCTACATCAGGGATCTGTTGGTAGATGTACCAGGGTGTTTCAAAAAAAAAATTGAATTCATCATGAATCTATGTGTCATCCTTGCACAAGAGTCATGCTGATCTTCTCCATACTGTTCCACTTTCAGTATGTGTGCTGCAGAAGCCAGCAGTTCTGGTATATTTTTGGTCCTTGTGCTGCATAATATATGTATATATGTAAACCCTGTGTCTGTTTGGAAAGGCAGCGGTGAGGTGTGTGTATGTGCCAAGGCAAGTCTGGAGGAATGAGCTGTGTTACAGTAGGATTGTGTTGTGATGGGAGTTGACAAGTGAACAGAGCTCTTGTGTATGTGTGCACTTGTGTATGCAGAGTATTCGTGCATGTGTGCAGAGGCCAGAGGGCAACAACCTCAGGTGTCATTCCTCAGAAGCTGTCTGTGGTGGTTTGAATATGCTTAGCCTAGGGAGTGGGACTATTAGGAGGTGTGGCCTTGTTGGAGTGGGTGTGGCCTTGTTGGAGGAAGTGTGTCACTGTGGGAGTGGGCTTTGAGACCTTCCCTCCTGCTGCCTATGAGACAGTCTCTCCTGGCTGCCGTTGGATCAAGATGCAGAACTCTCCTCCAGCACCATGTCTGCCTGCACACTACCATGCTTCCTACAATGATGATAATGGACTGTCTCTTCACAGCAATGGAAACCCAACTAAAACACCATTGAACTTGTTTTGAAACACGTACAAGTTGGCCTGGGGCATCAAGTAGGCTAGGCTGCCTGGCCATAAAACATCAAGATCCTGGCACTGAGATTACAAGTGTATGCCACCATACCTGGGCTCTGGTTATCCAACTCAGGTACTCATACTTGCCCAGCAAATACTGACTGAAGCATCTCCCCAGCCTGCAAACTGATATTTAAAGTTACCTTGTTTTCAGTTATTTTAATAGTAGATAAGAAAAATGGGTATTTTACATCCTAGGGGTGCACATCAGATCCTGTGCCCCTCCTCTATACCTGGTCTACCAGAAATAAGCCTCAGAGTCTTCCCTCTGCCCACTTAGTAAGCAGACTTTGCAGGCATAACCTACCAGGCCTTTGTCTCAGGAAGCCTCCAGACTGCCCCCAAGTGCCCAACCTCTCCCACCACCAGCCCTAAGAAAGAGTCAGCAGAGGCCTGGGGAAAACATCCGTCTCATGATTTATTACAACACATTGTTTCAAATACAAAAGGAGGGACAGGAAAGTGCGGCCTCATGGGGCAAAGTCCCAAGGGGGAAGCTGGCACCCTGGTCCTCAGGGACCGGAAGCCTTGGGCAAGGGACCTCTTCTGTACTGGACAACAGGAGGGGGCCAGGTGCATTCTGGGCCATTCCAGTGCCGGCAGTGACCAGGTAGGAGGGGTGGGAGAGCAAGAGAGAACCCTATACCCTCCACACCCTGGACAGTGGGTGAAAAGCCACAGGGAAAGCCTGTGCTCCACCTCCCCCAACACAAAGGAGGGAGGAGCTGAGACCTCCTCCACCTTGTCTTCTCACTTTGTGAAGACCAGGGTCATGTGTAAGTGAGAACAAAGACAGACTGAGGCTACTAGGCCCCGTGTGTCCAGGATAGATGCCATATCTCCATCAAGAGAGGGGAGGGACCAGATCCAAGGGGGAGCTTTAGGCTCCAACTGGTGGCCCCATACCACTATCTCCTGGACAGCAGTAGAGTAGGGGCATGGAAGGGAAGCCAGTGAACCTCCACACCCAGGGTCACCTCAGAAATCCAATGACAGACAGGAGGCAAATTTACATAATAATAATTATAATAATAATTAACCAATAATAATAAATACTTAAACCTCTAATCCATAGATTGAAAATACAACAATAGCTTATTTTCTCAGGGATCAGGATGGGTGGGATCAAGAGAACTGGGACAGGACTTTTGCTTAAGAAGGAGGGTGACAGGAACATGGGGGGCAGGTCAAAAGAAGAACAGACAGAAGGACACAGCAAGAGAGGTGGGGTAGAAAGGTGCCACCCTAGGTCTTTTCCAAGACTCTGTCCTGCCCCAGCTACCTGTTAACAAGCCCCTGGCTTCTTCCTCAAAGGACAGACCCATTCCAAGACTTGAAGACATCTGAGGGCAAGAACCCCTTTTCTGCCTCAAAACTTTGGGTCCCCAATAGTCCAAGAGGAAATTCAGCAAGGGTGGCTGGCATTTTTCTCCTTGTCCTTCTCTTAGATTGGCTCTGAGCCTAAAAAAGCCACCTTGGGTGGAGGCTAGCATATCATCTTGAAGACACTGGGAAAGTACTCTGCCTGGGAGGGAGCACACAGAGGGACTCTCTCCTGAGAAGCCCTTGTGGGGATGGGGCTGTCAGGGAGGACTTCCCCAGCATCTGTCCTTAGGTGGGGTCTTTTGGAGACAGTTCTCCTAAAGCTGAGGATTTCTGCTTCCTGGAAGCCTAAGGGCTTGGTAGGTGCTCTACTCCACCTGCTTCAGGGGCCCCTCAGCCTGAAGGTGCAGTAGAATTCCAAGTCCTACCTGTGGCAGGAAGAGCCCAGAATGAGAGCTTGAATCTACCCCCATTCTTACTGGGCCTAGAGCTCCCCTCTGACCAGCAGAGATAGCCCCTGCCAGCCCCAGCTAGCTTAGCTCCTCCTGCTGGCATTGGACACTGCCCCAGTACATGCTGGGGGAGTCTACTGGGCTTCCCAGTGGGCAGGGGCATCTGCAAAGGAATGCGAGACAAGACGCTTCCTCTGAATGGCCTCCTGGGCCCTTCTAAAGAAACTGGGCCTCACCCTCACAGGAGTGAGGTTCTCCATTCTTGCCTTTGGAGCTTACCTCATCTGGCTTTCAGGAACCCCCTTGTCCAAGTCTCCCTGAAAACTCTGGTCCATTGGGCCCAGTGCCCACCAACACCTGCCAGGTAACAGCCCTGGGGTGAAGAGCAGAGAAGGTATCCCTATGCCACTAAGACTTGGCAATTTGAGGTGTGGGGACACTGCTGGTGGGGCCTTCTGCAGGGACGATAGGGTTTCCCCCTCCCCTTACCTATGGCTTTGCTGCAGAGCCCAAGACAGGAGAGACAGGAGAGGAGAGACGGGAGAGGAGGGAAAGGAAAGAAGGGTCTGCGGCTCAGTTTGTGGCAAGTAAGGGTTTGGGTTTGTTTTTTTTTTTTTTTCATTTTCCCCCTTTATCTTATGTAAAAAGTGCAGGAAAGCTGGGCAGCTCTTTGAAAGGTCAGTAATGTTTCCAGAGGGGAAGGGCAAGGAGGGGCCCAGGCCTGTCAACCCAGCTTGGGATTGAAGGTGGCCTCATATTGCTTAGAAACCTGTTTCAGTTTAAATACCAGACAGTAAAAACAGAGCTTTAGGGCCGCCCCGCACAGTTGCCAGATCACTAGCTTAAATAAATAAAAAAATCGAAATATTTACTTCTTGATAAAAATTGCAGTAAAACCATTTACCTTTTCTGTGTGTTTTATATATAATATATATTTATACCTGGCCTGGCTGGAGCAAGGGCACAGGGACTCCTGAAGGGTCACGATACTTCGATGACCTCCACACTGCCAGAGAAGCTGGTTTGCTTGCCCAGGGCTGCCAGCTCCTCGCCACGTGCCCGCCCCTCCACCATGCCCTCTTCGAACTCCATCTGGCAGCTGCGCCTCTTGAACTGTGCATCTGCAGCAGGCTCCTCGGGCCAGCCGGTCCGCACATCCCGCCGCCGCAGGTCGCTGCTGCTGCTACTGCTGCCTCCGCCGCCGCCACCACCGCTGCTGCTGCCGCTACCGGGTCCAGGCGCGCCCGCGCTCGCCCGGCCAAAGGCAGAGAACACAGCGCCTGGACCCTGCGCGCCCTCGGGACTGAAGCACCAGGGTCCGTCGGGTGACGGTGTGCCTGGGGAGTCCAGTGGTGGCGCCCAGCCCCCGGGGCCAGCCGGCTGGCCAGGGCCAGGTAGCCCGGGCGCCGACAGGGCCGAGAGGCCGTGCCGCGGAGTCTGCCGGGCGGTGTCTCCAAAGTTCAGGCCCAGGCCGTGCGCGGGGGAGCGGGCAGGAGAACTGGCCGGGGGACGTCGCCGACGGGGTCGTGGGCGACACTCTGGAACGGAGTCCGGGCTGTCCGGGCTGGGTGAGGGCAGGCCCAGCGTGCCCCCAGACGGGCTGTCCAGCTTGCAGAGCTTCGGGGCTTCTCCAGGGTCGGGTGGGCCGGGAAAGTCGGGTCTCCTGCTGGGCGCATAGGCCGACTTGATGTCCAGGGAGAAGGAGCGCTTGAGGCGGTTGGTGTCCTGGAGGCGGTCAGAGGAGAGGTGCAGGCCACGAAGGCCCTGCTGCAGTGCGCTGGTAGCTGGAGCTGTGCTGGGGATCAGAGCATCCCCTCCAGCACTCGGGCTGCCCTCCTTGGCTGCGGTTGCTGCCTCGCTCCCGGTGGCAGCGCTCTCTGAGGTAGATGGTGGCAGCCGGGGCAGTGGGATGCCTGCTGCCGGGCCCATGAGGGGCTCAGGGGTCCCCAAGTGAGGTCCATCACTCTGCAGGGCAGCCAGCAGCTTCAGACTCCTCTCATACTCCAGCAACTGGCCCAGGAAGTTGAAGTTGGGCGAGATGGAGGGGCGCCTATCCTTCACAAACCTAAGCAAGTAAGAGGCATTTCTGTCAGAACAGGCTTGTCCCTGATTCTCCCCCCAACCCCCCCGCCCCTGTTCAGCACTCACGGCAAACCTTTAAGTACCCAAGCTCTGTGTCAGGTTCAGGCTTTCCCTCCCCGCCAGGGTAGTAATTTGTACAATCCAAGTGGGTGGAGGGAGGAAAGGGAGGGCAATGCTGTTAGCCATTGGTTGTAGTGTTCTAGGTCCTCGGGGCCCAGGAGAATACCTGTATGCGTCGTCAGAAGACATGCCCATGGTTTTCATGATGTACGCGATGGCGATGGTGGCAGAGCGAGAGATGCCAGCCAGACAGTGAACAATGACTTGGCAGCTGGACAGCTTGGCTTTATCTGGGGGCAGGTGGATGGTGGGGGATCAGGTAAGGGCTGAGCTTGCACTGTTCCTCCCTACCCAAGGTACTCTCCAACCCTCCCTATGGCAGACAGTGCTGGTGGCCCTCCCAGTTCTCCCCTCTGCCTCTATCTAGTCTTCCTCTAGCCAGCTCTTCCACCCTATAGAGACACACACACCCTCCCTTGCCCTCACCAATAAACTCAATGGACTTGTCCAGCCAGGGCAGCAGCTTTTCACAGTAGTTGTCATTGATGGGGATACGCATGAAACGGCTCTCACAGATGAAGTCTGGTTTAGGGCAGGAGTTGCTGGCATTGAGGACATAGCTTATTCCATTTTGGGTCATCAGATCCTGGAGGGATAGGAAGATGGATCAGAATGGGGTAGCAGAGAAAAGCAAAGTCCCCCAGTGGAAGAAGAACCAACTCCCCTCCTCTTCCCCCACCTCTCGTAGAACAGAAGGACTCTAAAGTGTTTCGATGTCCCCAAGCCTCAGATTTTTTTCAAGATCTTGCCATATGGGAAAAGACTGGGTCCAGAAACCCTTTCTCATCTCAACCATGGAGCCCACAGGATGGGTACAGGAAGGATGGCTTCTGCAAGCCACACCCACAGCCAGCATTGGGCTCCCAGGAATTTTATGGTTGCCTGGGCGGTGCCTTCATCCTTTTCCCTCCTCACCATTTTTAAAACACGGGATTCTTTCAGAGCTGGCAAGGGGCCCAGTGACAGAAGCAGTTTGGCATGTAGGCTTCCAGCCCCACCACAGAAGAGACTGGGAGCCCGCCTTTCCATTAGCCTTGCTGTGTTCCTGCCTGAACCATGCTGTAGGTCAGTGGGTGGGGAGGCTCTGGTCCTCCTGTGCTCCCAGCTCAGACTCATTTTATCTTCCTCTCAGACCACCCTAGGACCTAAATCCAGAGCCACCCACCCCCTTCTCCTATTGGCAGTGACCCTCTGTGTACTCACCTTGTTCAAGACATCTTTCTGAGAACCCAGGTAGAGGTGAGGCAGGATTCGGGTCAGGCCAACACTGGGCACAGGCAGGCAAGGCTGAGAGAGGCTCATGGATGGTAGGGTGGCAGGTTTGCCCTCACAGAGGCCAGGGAAGCAGGAGGAGAAGGTGGCAAAGCCTCCTGTGGGAGGAGACACAGAAGGCTCTTCAGGAAGCTGGCCAGCTGGGGCAGGAGAGTTCCTCTGGGCTTAGCCACACCCTGCAGACCCCAAACCCAGCCTGCTTCTGGCCTAGCACCTGGACTCCTGCTGGCAGGCTACTTGCTCTTCTCTGCAGCACTGGGGGTGTGCTGCTGCCCATTTAGAACAGGCACCTACGCCCACATTCCTCCTCAAGCTAATTAGGGACTGGCTCAGGGGCACTGCTTTGATGCCCATAAATGTGGGGTCAAGGTGGCCTGTCAGTGTGGCACATGGGAGCCAGGCAGGAGATGGCTTAGACCTCACCAGGGGTCTCTTATTCCTCAGGTATGACTCGGTAAGTCCTTCTCCAGCCCCTGGCCTGGGGCCAGGCTGGCATTTAGCCTCTCTCCTTGCTGATGCAATCCTTCCCTGACTCCAGCTGGCTGGAAGCCACAGGCCTGGGCTCCAGTGCCAGGTCTGGGAGGAAAGGGCTTCTGAGGTGGGGCCTCTTTGGGCATGACATCACCCACTGGAATTGCCATTGCCCACAGGGCATTTGTGGTTTGGTCATGGCTCCAGTCTACCCAGCAGATGACAGAGAAGCAGAGTAGAGTCTGCACACAGGGCACACACAGCCTGCTCCCTGTGGCTATTGTCTAGATACATCCAAGACCTGGACTCTGGGCTGGGGAAAGAAAACCTTCCACCAGTTTGAGGCACACAAGGTAGCTCCTCTGGTATGTCTGACTCAGTGACCATCTGCAAGGCATGCCTCTGGCCTCAGTTTCCTTATTTTCCTGCCACACAGCATTGTTGAGAGGCTCAAAGAAAACAATTATAAAGATATAATAGACACAGCCACATCCAGCCTGACTGGGGTTCATCCAGAAACTGTTCAGCATCTCAGTGGTGGACACAACTCTCAGCATGATGAGGTGAGTTCAGTAGAATGGAACTTACTTTCTTTCTTTCTTTCTTCCTTCCTTCCTTCCTTCCTTCCTTCCTTCCTTCCTTCCTTTCTTTCTTTCTTTCTTTCTTTCAAGATTTATTTATTTATTTTATGTATGAGTACACTGTTACTGTCTTCACACACACCAGAAGAGGGCACTGGATCCTATTACAGATGGTTGTGAGCCACCATGTGGTTGCCAAGAATTGAACTCAGGACCTCTGAGTAAAGAGTTCAGTGAGCAGTCAGTGCTCTTAACCACTGAGCCATCTCTCCAGCCCCAGAATGGAACTTTCTATATTCCACAATGACAAGCTCTGACAAGCAGTGGCTTCAGTCTCAGTCATACGCACTGCCCCCCAAACACACACTGCGTTTTCCCTGGTTTGGAGAGAGGTGGGTACCAAGGACCCAGGGATTTGGGGGGCTATCCAAGGCTATGTGGTGGGTGGAAATGGGGAGCCAGATAAATCCTTCCCCCTGGAAGTTGCATTTGATTAGGCATTTGTTCACAGCAGCAGAAATGTAGCCAAGGCATACTAACATCTAACTTAAAGCTCTCTCCCTACCCCCCTCTATTATATTAAAGGCAGGTTTATTGGAAAGCTGCTCTCAGGCAAATTTACTGACCCCATGGATTGAAGTCAGGGGAGTCATCGTGGGGAAGGGGATTGGGGAGGGAGAAAGAGAGAAAGGGCCTGCTAGAAGAGAAGAAGAGGAAGAGGAAGAAGGAAGAGAGGAGAGAGAAAGGGGGGGGGACTGGAATATATTTAAAGTGCTTTCTTAATAAACTCCAACTTTACTTAAAGAAAAAAGGGGACTCAGTTCATTACCCTCCCTGCCAACAACATCACTGTGGGAGCATTGCTTGAATTCCCTCTTCTGATTCCCTTCATTGGTCATCCCCATCTCCTTGAGCTTCCTGTGAGCACAGCCAGAGGGTGATATGTAAAGGCCTGGCCTCTGATGTATTTGGCCAGGAGGCCAAGGAGCTCTGTGTGCACTGTGAAACCATCCCTGGACCCTGATCAGTAGTCTGCTTCTGATTGTGCACTAGCTCAGCAGGATCTGGCCAGTGTGGTATCATTTTGAGCCTGTCTCACACTGCATTGACCAGGAGGACTCCCTAGCTCAGTATTTGGACAAAGGAGGACAAGGACTCAAAGTTGGCGGGGCAGATACCTAGAATTTCAGGGAGATAGCTAGAGCACAACCAGGTCCAAATGAACCCTCTGGGAGGAGCCCAGCTCAGGGCGGTCTCCACTTGTCCTTGCCCCTTGTCCCTTACCCCTAAGAGACAGGCACTGTCAGGTTTGGGGTTGTCCTGTTAGGGCCAGGAAGGGTGCAGTTCTGGAGCCCTTTGTATTTTCAGAAGAACCTTGTTCTTCCATTCATGACTAGGGTTGTGAGTTGGGCCCTGGAAGGGTTCCTATAGGCTTAGTGGGCTTGTAAAAAGGCCCAAACTCCTCTTTCTCCCAAACTAAGCCTGGAGGCTAGAGCTAGGATACAGCTATGTGGCTTCTGGTTCCGAGAATTTACACATGCACAATGCTATGAGTCCTATTCAGTCAGGCTCAGCATCTGTACAAATATCAGAGGTGGGGTGCATGCATATATGTATGTGGCTGATACCAGAGACTCAGGGCACATAGACACACAGATATGCTTGGATCATACTGGCCCAGAGTGTCGTGGGACATAACTCATATCCAAATGTACACAAAGACCCTGGCCATACCCATGATTCTGAGTCTCCAAACCACCTCAGAGTACCTCAGAATGGGTTCATCTCCCTAGCATTTACCTAGCAGTTTAACTGAAGCAGCCCAGGCCCTCCCAGCCTTCCTCTCAGGTTGGGCTTGATGCCATGGTACTCATGGGATTCTGGTGCCATTGAACTGGACTGGCTACCCACTCACTTATTCCACTCCATATGCAGTGGGTGTGGAGGACATTCCATTAGCTACGGGCTATGCAGAGGCTACCAGCATGGGCAGAGGGTATCAGCAAAGGCCCCGGATTCCAGCCATCTGAGCAGCCATCCTAGAACAAGCCCACTCGAGCAGCTATTCAGGAATCTAGGCTGCCTCCCTCCCGGGGGAGGTAGAGTCTACAAAAGCCCTTTCAGCCATGGCCTGAGGGTGAGTGTGCCTAAGCACATGGTAGAGAGTGGGAACATGAACCATGAGTCGTGTGTGTGTGTGTGTGTGTGTGTGTGTGTGTGTGTGTGTGTGTGTCTGAGTAGGGCTTGGAGGCCAGCTGGCCAGGCTGCTTTTGGAGCACAGGTAGCCCAGAGAGATACTTGCTGGTCCATTAGGTAGCGGCCATGATGGAGTAGGATGTTGTGACATAATTTGTGGCCAGCTGCTATGTTCTCTGGATAAAGTCCCTGTTGTGTTACCAGTTCTGGGATAGACTGAGGTAAAGCCTTTATTTCCTCTCCTTGACACAGACAGTTTGTTGCCTGGGTCCCTGGCCTTCCTCTACCAAAACCTTGGCTTGGAGAACTCCTGCTTGTCCACCTCTCCTGCTGTTGAGGGTAGAAGTGAGTTTTGAGAAGCCTAGAGGTACTGGGATCGCCCTACCATCCCAATAGTGGCGGGACAATACTTTTCCTCTGAGACTCCTAGTGCTAGCCAAGCGCATGGGGAGGAGTGCTTGGAAGAGAAGGTATCCCACAGCCCTGGCCCATCCCTGGAGTTTACCTGTGAGGATGGCCACACTGTCGAAGCAGCCGTCTAGCTTGCTGAGCAGGATGGACAGGAAGCTGTCTGCTGCCAGCACGCTGGCATCTCGTGTGCTCTGGTCATACACCACCACATCCTGTGGTTCTGTGGCATCCACCTAGGGGACCATAAGGGCAGAAGTTAGGATGCCTGGAAGAGCAAGAGGACAGGAGAGACAGGGCTCTGCTGTCATCCTCCCTCCCACTTCATCTGCTAGGTGCACAGGTATGTGCACACTTCGAGGGGCAGAAAAACCCATGGCTCCACTAACAGGCTTTGCACAAGGCAGGGACTAGGGGTCGAGTGACTTGAGTTGCCCTTCACTGGCAAAAGCACCGGAACCAGAAGTGTTAAGGAGGCATAGGTGAGTCTAATGGGGCCTCAGAGAGTACACACACATAGCCTGAGCTGGCTCCTAGGCTTCCTGGAAGGCCAGCACCTCTCTCCTTATTTACTCTCCCCCAGCTCCTAATGGAGAAACTGAGGCTGCAGTAGGACCCCCTCCCCAAACACCACCAGGTCAGGCGGTGAAGTTGGAAGCTGGGGTTCCTCCAGCCCTTTTCTTCCATTGTTGTGGCCTTAGAGCCAGATGTTGAGGGGCTTTTGCTCAAACAGACTGATGTCCCCGCCTCCCAAGCACACTCAGTCTTTAAGCCAGCTGAGCTGTCAACCCCAGGCTGGATGATGTCATCAGCAGCCAATAGAATTGCACTCTGGCTGGAGTCCTCGCTGGGGGTGATTAATCACTGGATTCCCTTCATTGGCACCACGGGGGAGCTGGTTCTGGCCTTGGAGTGGGGGACTCCCGACAAGCGGCATCCCACCTGGGTTTTCTCACATCATAGCTTAGGAGTCAGGCAGTTCGAAATTGAAATCCTTCTAAAGCCCTTAGTCTGTTGGTATGCCCTCTCTAACCCAAAAGAGGTGGAAGAAGATGGTAATTGGTAGCCTGTCTCAGGTCACAAATGCTTCGCAATAGGCTAGTCCCTCCCCAGCTGCTGCAATGGATAGTCCCGAGGAAGAAATCTGTCCCTCCATGAAACGATTATCCTTCCTGGGGGCCACAGAGAACATTCTGGGTCACAGAAGACTCCAGGAGGTGGGAAGAGGAATGGGGAGGCTAGTGAAATAGTCTGCCTACTATAATCCCCTTAGTCTTCCCCTCCAGGACTCACCACAGTCAGGGTGGCCAGACCCAGTTGTCCTTGTCCTCAGCATGCACCACCACTGCATCTACCCTGCTCTACCCTCTGTGCAACCCTATGTCCCTTATCCATTCAGGACTCCTCCCTCTGAATCTGCCTTGTATATGACAAAGGGACTCCCCAGGATTTCTAGAGGAAGGCCTCACTAGAGAGGACTGGCCTACAGCACTCTCAACTGTGACTTCAAGGAGCCCAGTTTGGAATTAAGGGACAGGGAAGGAGAAATGCTTGATCAGAGGACTCTTGGCACCAGGCCTAGGAGCTCCCCTCTTTTAGAGGTGACATATGCATGCTTTCTCAGGACTAGTCAGCCCTAGAGATGTATGCAAGGGTGGGACACAGGTACCTGGCTTCGCGTAGCAGGCTGGATAAGCTCAGCAATGGTCACTTTTCCCTGCTGAAGACGCCGCTTCACCAGCTTTGAACAGCAGATATTCACAGAGCTCAGCACGTGGCAGCTGTTATACTCCACAAAGGATCGACTGTCGATGACCAAGGGGCCCCCAGGCCCTCCACGCAGCAGGCTGGCCAGCTTCTTTGCATCCATCACTTTCCTCGGGAGACGATCCCCAGCCATGGTGGGGTGGTAGGCAGTGGGGAGAGTGACCCCTGAAGTGAGGAGGGCGTGGCCTTGCAGTGTTCTGGGTACCCTAGTGCATGGTGCCAGACCTGAGGGAAAGGTGAATTGTCAGCAGATGGTGGGATCTGGGTAGCTACAGCTGGCTCCCAGGTGGGCCCTGTGTTTGGCACCTAGCATGTCCTTTGAGCCCTTCCTCCTGAATGGATGAACCTGACCCAATAAGGTGAGTACACAGAAGAGACCTTGACCACCCTTGGCTCTGCTGGGTTCTAATATAAGGCAGAGGACAAATGAGGACCCAAAAGTGGGGTCCTTATTATGGGCTCTGGGGTTCATCTCTGCTTGTACTTTCCTCAATCTCTGTCCTGCTGATCTCTGCATTGTTGTCTTCTCAGGACCCTAGAGTACAAAGCTTGACTGTTCTTTTCCCAGGTAGGGGCTCTCAAACCCTCCTCCCTTACTTGGCACAGGGCTGCATGGCCAATTCCCAGAATCCACCTCCAGAAAAAGTTCTCTAAGCTCATAACCTTGATGTTAGTAGATAGAAGAGCAGGACCAGCAGGACTGCCCACCCTGCCCCCGCCCCTGCTCATGGGCTCCTAGAAGCTGAAGGCCAGGTACTAGGGAGCTCCTGTTTTACCATTCCTGATGGATGCCTCAAGCTGCCGTTGGTGTACTCCACCCATTGTACAAGGGATGGAGTTTGTCAGCCCTAGAGTGAAGGTTGTGGTACCTAGGATGCTTGGAGCTGCTGCACCTTCTGCATGGCCCCAGAAGCTCTTGGACTGAAGGTTATGTGGAGGGACTGGGAATGGCTAGCATCAGGGAACCTAGAAGCCCTGTTCTTTAGGCTTGATGACTCTCATCTGTCAGGTGCTGTCTTCCTTGGGGCCCCCAGGACAAGTGCAGTGTCAGGACAATGAGGCTTGAGGCAGAGGAAGGTAAAATAGCAGGGTAGGTACAATATTCCCCTCATCTATCCTTAAATGTGGTGGGGTAGGAAGGAGCTCAGCTCTCTAGACACTCATTTGAGCCCCTTCCTGTCCTGGCCCATCCCCACTCCTCTACTGCAGTCATGTGGGCACCTACATGGTGCTACCATGCTGGTACAAGCCTTGGCACAGCTTCCAAGCCTTGGCAGTGCACAGTCACTGGGGGCTTTGGGGTGCTAATCTCTGACATCTATGTTTGTCTCAGGCCTCTCTGCAAGCCCTTCACTGGGGAGTCAGGCCTGGGCCAGTCACACTGGGGAATCTCAACAGCGCTAGACTACCTGTGCAAGGGGTCCTCTGTCTGCTGAAAACATTCTGACTTAATGCTTATCTTAGATGTTCAGGGACATTTCCCTGACTTCTAACTTGAATACTGCATGAGGGAACAACAGGCTAGTGGTTAGACCACAGGAAGGAGTGGGCTTTCCTACTAGCAGAGCTGGACAATGGGACTAAAAGACCAGGACTCTGAGAGGGCCACAGTGCAGGATGCTGGGGTACAGAAGGGCCTTTTCTGAGTCTCTTGGCCCTGTCACTGAGCAGTGTCCACCTCCTCCCAGGTGAGCAAGATGGGTTAACTGCATCAAGGGAAGCTTGATACCAGTATAGGGAGCTCTGCAGCAGCCCTTGAACTACCTGGAGGAAAGTTTTGCTAGGGTTGCCCCATCTAAAGATTCTCATCACAACCCCACAGGAGCTGTAGCTGAGGATGGCAGGGAAGGGAGACCCAGAGAGAAGAGCAGAGGAGGGCAGGTTGGTTGCAGGTGGAAATGGGGGCAGATAGATTCAGGTCTGATACCTGTCCCTTTCTCTATCTCCGAGGGAACCCTGAGAACTGGAACTGGGCCCTATTAACCATTACAGAATTGTTATTTGCAGCGGAGGGGGACTCATTAGCAAGTTAGCACCTCTGATGTTGCCATGGCAACAGCAGAGGTGCCAGGCAACGGCTGCTCCTACTGCAGCAGCCATGAAGCAAGCTGCTCTGCAGATTAGGCAGGTCTCCCTCCTCTATGCTCCCACTCCTCCATGGCAGGTGCCCAGTCGTTCTGGTCTATAACTCAAAGACAGCAATGAAGTCCCTTACTCCAACCCTGCCCTACTTGGCCCTAATTCCCAGGACCCAGTCCCATACTGCAGCTCACTGGCTCCCCATTCCTCTGAGGCCATCTGTATACTACACTGCAAAGATTTGGATCAGCCCCCTCGCATAAGAAATTCTGCACTATGCTGGTCTTCAGTAGCACATCCTAACAGCACCTCTTTGTACCCCCCACTCCTGGCTTCCTCAATGTTGGGCATCAGGCCTAGTCCTGGATAGAATTCACTGGGGCTTGAAATAGATATGTATGGTCAGTTTTGAGAAGGTCAGCAGGGCACAGACAGACCATGAAAAATCTTAGCAAAGCATATGTTCTCAAGCACTCCCTGCCCAGTCCTTTCCAGGGAGAATAGCTATCAGCCTGTTCTTCGGGAGGCTTGAACGGGGTTTGGGGGGGGGGTCAAGACCCTTTATGCAGAAGCTGTAGGCCTTCATCAAAGGATTCTGAGCCAGGAGACAAGCATTCCTAAATTCAAAGTCAAGAGGAAGCCTTTCCCAGGCCACACCCCTCAGGGAGGTCCCAGACAGCCCCCTTTGCTGGAGGCCAGGCCCACAGCTCAGCCCTTGTGGCACTGTTCTCTGGGCAGAGGAACACCTCCCTTTGTACATTGGCAGATGCATGGCTTAACAATCAATCTTATCCCTGAGTGCAATTACACATGTGTCCATCTTCACATACATAAGACATTATGGTCTCCTGGAGAGCATGACTGAAATATACAGTTGCATACACATCCTTGCCTTCTGCATACCAAAGCCCCTGGTGCCCACATACCAAGTGCCAGTCCATTACCTTTCCCACTGGGGTTCCCACACAACATGGTCCCTGAGTCCTTATGTGACCAATAAAAGCCCGAGTCCTAGGTGGCATCCTCACTAATCTACTCTTGCTCAGTGCCTAGTGACAAGAAACTCCCTGCTTCTAGAAATGGCTGCCAGGACCATTAGCCACTGAAAGACTGGGTCCTTTCTCACAATGGTCTGACTTGGGCATCCCTGCTCACAGTCAGGTGGGCTCTCAGGAAAGAGCCAGAAGTTAGGGGCCCAAGAAGCTGAGATGCCAGCTCACTGTCACACTGGGCACTTCTGAAGATTATCAGAGACTATCTCCTAGAGGGAGGGGCTCAAATGTTCTTGCATGGCAGCTGAGCTCTTGGCTTCTCTGGCCAGGCTACCCTGCACCCTTACCCCTGGAGAGGGATCAGAAACATTGTCTCAGTCAGGCAAATGGCCAGGCCAAAAAGAGGCAGTGGAGGCCAGAGGGAGCTGTGGTCCTGAGAGGTCCAGTCAGGTTCTTTGGCTCACACATTTCTTAGGACCACAGCATAACTATCTCTCTTGCTGTGGCCTCGGCCTCTGTCCCTGCTTCCTCTGTGAGCTGCATATCAGACTCTGTCTATCAACCCAAGAAGAAAGATGTTGGCAGGAGTCCTATACACATTGACTTGAAGCATCTTTTTGCATCGTGTTCACTGCTAAGTCCCCAGAGGCACCCTCAAGTCTCCCCAAGGGCACAGGGCAGGTGGGAAAAAGAACTGCCCGGCAACTCTCCTGAGGTCCCTAAGCTGACTGCAGCAGTCAGACATAAAGATGAACCTACAGCTCCTGGTCACATGACCTGCTCATTTGTAGCAGGTGCCTGTTAACCAAGGAGTGAATGCACGGGGACTCTGACCTCTCAGGGAAGAGCTTGGCACTGTAAACTACCCTCACCCACCCAGCTACCCTAGGTACAAGCAAATGTGAGGGTGGGTCTACAGGTCACTGGATTTCCCTTCTGAATTCATTCATACAGTGAAAGAAGCCGTGCCCCTGACCTGAAGCACCCCTACCCCCACCCCATGCTGCACAACAGAGCATTGCAGATGCCACACTGGTCCCCCACCCCCATCACTGCACCATCAAGTCCCCCAATCTCCCTGCTGCAGAGGCAGCACACCCTGTCAACAAGGAATCAAAGGCAAATTTATTCCAAGAGGTCTGATCTAGTGGAAGCTAAGCCTGTTCTTGCTCCTCCACTTGCAAGGTTTGGCACACGGGTACCAGCGGCATCTGACTGGCCGCTCCCTCCCAAGGTAGGCAGATAGGCCAGGGAGCCGGGCTGCAGGAGGCAGCCGTGCTGGCCCCTCCCCCAGCATCGCGCCTACTGCCACTGCGTCGGGTAAGGATGTTCTTTATCCGCAGAGGCGAGCGGAGCACCATGAAGTAGGGGTAACGGGACAGCCATGCAAGCCGAAGAGTGAGGGGTCCTAGAACTTCCCCTCCAAATAAGGAGCCTACCGCGGGCCGGAGCCGACTCTCCGGCGTCGGAGGTTTCGCATCCCCCTGCCCGCTGCAGCCGCGGACGACCTTCTCCAAATCTAGCTGCCAGCGGGGGCGCCTCGCAGAGACTCTCACCGGTCTGTGCTGGATCTCAGCCCTCCCCCGCGAATCCCTAGGTCTCTTATGTATGTCCCTCCAGATAAGAAGGAATATGCAGAGAAAGACAGCTCACTGCGGGCGCGGATCTGCAGCGCGCGCTGCTCGCGGAGCAAAGCCATCTATTCCTCCGTGTTCCAAAGAGCTTCTTTCAGGGCGCACACCCAGAGAAACCTCCGCACGCCCCGGGCCCACACCCGGCTTAGGACTCGACCGGTGTCAGCGCCTGGCTCACCTGGCTCTCGCTTGCCCTGGGGTTGCCCCCGACGCCGGTACCGCGCTCACGGCGCCCGCTCCGTTCCGCCACCCATGGGCCCGTCGGGGGCCCGCGTAGCCGGGGCAAGGGCCAGAGAGGCGCGCGGGGCGCGTCGCCGCCGCCGCCGTCGTCGTCGCCGCCACCGCGGGGAGCGCTCGCTCGGGACAGAACGCGCGTACTGCGGTCGGGCACGCGCGCTCACGGCGCGCATCCCAGCCCGCGACTTGGCGGGCGCGGCCGGCAGCTCCGGCCCGGCTCAGCGTCCGGCGTCCGGCGTCCGGGTGGGGCGGGGGTCCGCGGAGCCGGCTCGGCCACCGCGGGAGCCGCGAGTGACAGGCCCGGGGCGGAGGGCGGGGCTGCCAGTAGGGATGAGGTCATGCAGAGCGAAAAAGCCCCTGACGTCACCTGCAGCCAATCAGAGTAAGCCGCTCCGGGGCAGGTGACGTCAGCGGAGCGGGCGCTGGGTGCGGAGCCCTGGCGGCCGTGGGTCTCTCTGCCACCGCCCTCCGTCCCCAGCTCCCTAAGCTTCTTGGGCATCGGTTCTTAAAGGGGCCACGCACGCCGCGGCTCCCCACCTCCAGGAAGCCTTCCCAGCCCAGAGCTCCTGATATCCCCAAGAACCCTCAGGCTCGCGACACTCTAACCCGTGCCTACTGTCCTAGTATGCAAGGTCCTCCTCTCTCGGCCCTCCTGGACTGGATCTGTCGCGGGTTTCTCTCCTTCCCTTAGCCTTTGTTCGCGTGAGGACGCCCTCCCAGAGTGTGCTTCCCCTGCCCCAGTGCGGCCTGGGGAATGGGGTCACGGACAGCCGCGCCCGCAAAGGGCCTTACCTGAGGCTTCCACGTTTGTCCTCTCCACGACCCCTGGAGGTGGCAATACAGCTCTCCACTTTGCAGGAGAAGCTCCTGGGTAATGTGGTTTGCCTCAGGTCACTCATCCCGGTAACTCAGGGGGCGGGGCTCCAGACCCACCGGTGTGCTTCCCAGAGCGCTGCTGTGCCCCCCTACCTATGACACCCAGCTCTTGACACTTCCAATGAAAAGCTGCCTAGAAATAGACCTCTACTCCCATCCCGATGTCTTCCCTGCCTGCTGGGGACTGTCGGCCCCATCCCACTGTGCGAACACAACCACGTGAGCACTCAGAACAAAACACGGTAATTACAACTAGGGCAGAAATACACAGGGGTCAGGCACATCTGAGAGGAAGGGGAGTCTTGTGCCAAAGTGGTCCACTTGCAAACATAAGCCACGGTTCCCTTAGTTTTTCCCCTCCTTGGGAACACACTATACAACCCAGGTTGGCAGAAAACTCTATTGTATCCCAGGCTGGTCTCAGCCTTCTGAGTGCTGAGATTATAAGCACCCACCATGATACCAGACCACCTCAGACACTTCAAAAAAGTGGCCCTGACTAGGCCGCTGGGTGGATAGTGAGTTGACCAGATAACATGAGTCTCGTGTGTGTGTGTGTGTGTGTGTGTGTGTGTGTGTGTGTTTTCGCGCGCGTGTGCATGTGTGGTGGAGTGCCCTGAACTTCCCTTGGAAGTACAGCCTCTCACTAGGTGAAGGACAGAGTTTAGGGGATGGCTGGTTGAAGGAAGGGTCACAGAAAGTGAAGCAGGCACAAAGGAACACTCCTATGCTACTATAGGTTACACAAGAATACTACAAACCGCAGTAGATGCTGGGCAAGACTCTGCAGAGATCTTCTCCTTTACCCTACTGTATCCTGCTTGGCTTGGTTCGTTATGAGTATTTAGAAATGGCTTGCAGAAATCTCTCTTTGTAGCCCAAGGGGAGTCTGGGAGTCTAGCCTGGGATTAATACAGGTTGGAGGGAAGAGGTGTCTCTGGCTCAGAAATAGCACAAAATAAACAAACAACTTGGGAGTGCTGCCAGGAAGGAAGCATGGGAAGCCCCAGGGATGTTTAGGGTTGGCTCTGGGTTCAGATCTTTGTCTCCCTGACTCAGGCTGGACCCTGAATAGAGGCCTCCTGCTGAAGGTAGCCCTTGAGGCTGAAGATGACCAGCTCTACTGGATGCTTACTTACTCAGGTCAATGTTGGGGTGGCTGATGTGTTGGCTTCCTGCCCATTCTGAGCCCAAGAAATGGGGAATTTGGGGTCTGGGAAGGGGAGTAACATAAGCTGAGACCTGGACAGGTTCAGGCAATTGGGTCATGTAGGATTCTGGAGGAGGCAGCAGCAGCCCTGAAAGAGTTTGGGACCTGAAGGTGTGGAGGCTGACAAAGGAGTTGTCAGGTGTGTGTGTGTGTGTGTGAGAGAGAGAGAGAGAGAAAGAGAGAGAGAGAGAGAGAGAGAGAGAGAGAGAGAGAGAGAGAGAGAATATCAAGAGAAGCCCAATGAGGACCCCTAAGAGGGTATCCTGGTGAGGAAGAATGTGGCAGGGTATGGTCTGATACTCTGGGAGTGCCCAATTAGATCTGGGTTATACTGGGGGGCAGATTCTTGCCAGGTTCGAGCAGCAGGGTACAGGTGACCTGGAGGTACTTCTGGAAACCCTAGGTAGATGGGCTTACCCAGTAGCCTGTCCCCACACTTTTGAGACTGGAACACAATACTATGTATGATATAATCCAGCTGCAAAAACAAAACAAAACCTCAAAGTATTTCAAGTAAGCTTATGGTTTTGTGTTAGGACATATTATAGTTATACACATACAATTTGTGGGTAGACAAGCTAGACTCTACCATATAGATGATACTAGTTATGGGCCATTCCAGCACTACCTACTTTGTAGACCTGTGCCTTCTCAGTGGGTGTTGGGCTCTTCCCATCTCCTTCATTTTGTTCCTTCACACCCCAAGGAGTGAGGCAGTCTGGAGAGCCGATGAGAAGGGTTTGGAGCTGGCAAAGGTGCTCAGGGTGCTGGTTTCTTCAGAGCTGAATCCAGTCAGCGGCATCTGTGCCAAGGGAGGACAAGATACAACCTCTGGCAGTCTTTCTGCACCACATCAGCCCCAGACCCGAGTTTGCCTTTTGGGGTATTTTGTGTTGATAGAACCCTACAAGTGCTAGAGGCTTGTGGAGATGGAGGCAGTACTGGCTGCTGCAGAGTGCAGAGCCTAGATGTTCACTCAGGGTCTAGCAGGTGCAGGTCCATCTGCTCTGTCCACTCGCGCCCTCTGCCGCTCACAACAGTATGCTGCGCGGGCTGGCTGCCTGAGGTACAGCTAGGAGATCACCCCAGACGCTGATCCACTACCTGGCGAAGAGAAGTGAATGTTCAGTTCTCCGCTTCAGTTTATGAGGCATGAAAACCACCCATGCCCTTGGGCTGCCCAGCCTGACTTCTAAGGCACCGTAGATAAAATGACAATGCAGCAGACGACCCTTTCCTGATTTAAAATTTTTTTTTACCGTTATCATGACTAGTGTGGCAGTGCTAGGGATCTAACCCAGTGCCTTATGGAGGCTAGGCAACACTCTGTCACAGAGCCACACCGTCAATTCTTATTTTTAAATTATATTTTATAGTCAAATACACATCTACACTTTCTTTTTTAACTGTGAAATGAATGTTTATTTGAATTTTTTAGATTAGTTGTACAACTAATTCATGACAAATTACCACATGGATTTTATATGTTCCTCAGGACTGAGGTTTGTTGATGACTTCAAATTTGAGATTTTCAAATTTGAAGGTAGGAAACATATCCATCTCTCCTTTACCAAACATTTTTTTAAGCTTAAAAAGCTCTCTGTTCAGATCTTGCTGATACTCTGGGCCAGTATTAAGAGGTCCTCCAGATGCCTGTTGCTTTGATTTGTATTCTCTTGTCCATGAGGAGTTTCTGTACAGGATCGAGTTCCTTATTCAAGTTCTTCCTCAAACGCAGAGACCACTGATGGAAGGACAGAGAAGAGCCTGAAGATCCTCTGAAGAATCTTGGTTGAATCTCTGGTACTTGCACTGAGTCCCAAGCTGCCAGAGTCACTGCCGCCACCACCATTCTACGCATCTGCACTTTCTTTCTTTCTTTTTAAAAAGATTTTATTTATTTAATGTATATATACTGTCACTGTCTTCAGACACACCAGAAGAAGGCATTAGACCCCATAACAGATGGTTGTGAGTCACATGTGGTTGCTGGGAATTGAACTCATGACCTTTGGAAGAGCAACCAGTGCTCTTAACCACTGGGCCATCTCTTTAGCCCCCACATCTACACTTTCAACGTCGAAGAGTACAACCCAGAAGCCTTGAGAATATTCAGGTTGCTGTATAATGCCACCACCATCCATCTGCAGAACTCTGTCTTCCTACAGAACGGAACATTGGTCCCTGCTAGAGTTTATCTTCCTCAGCTCCATGTACCAACATTCAAACTGATTTTTTTTAACTTTAAAAAAAAAGTGATGTTTATTCTTACACTTTATTATTTTTTAACAGATGAAGTGGCTTTTATTTATTTATATTTAATGTCTGTAAACATTTGCCTGCATGTATGGATGAGCACCGTGTGCATTCAGTGCCCTCAGAAGCCAGAAGAGGAAATCAGATGCCCTGGAACTGGGTTTGCAGACTGTTGTGAGTAACACGTAGGTATTGGGAACTGAACCTAGGTCCTCTGCAAGAGCAGCAGTGTTCTTCACTGCTGTTTTAACTTCTCTCTAGTCTTCCTGGTACTATCCACTCCTTTAAAGTACAAAG